TCGTGGTCCAGCTCAAGGACAATGTAACCCTTCATTACCAAATGGTCGTCTCTAGGAACAGAACCATCACAGCAAATACCACCTCAATTTGTGAGCCTCACCAACACACAAATCAATTACCACTCGTAGCTGTGATCGTTACGCAGCCCGTGTTCCCCTCTGCATTGTTTGCTCAGAAGATTGCTCTCCTTCGTCATTAACTAGCAGTGAGTTGGAAAGAAACAACTGTAATTCATACTCCAAAAGTCATCCTCCCATGTACACTCACCATTCCCAATTAAGCTCATGAAAGATTAATTCCTTAATGATTATGATTTGCACTGTTAATTAATTAGCTGCTTTTCCATGAAGTATTCAGAAGTTTGCAGAATTACTTCAATCTATTAATTAGCTTGCAGTGACTGTATAAATAGTGAGTAACTCCCTTCATTCTCCTTGCCCCTTAGACAAATTAGCTGCTGCTTGGCCTTCCTGTCCACCTCCCTGCCCACACCATGCAGAATCTGTTTCATCCACTGCTGCAAACATTCATGATTTGCTTACTCATTTTTCTAAGAGGATAATGTAACCAAGGAGCAGACACAGTTGACTCACATCACTTTCTTTCCTTGGGGAGAATGTATTTTGATATGAACCCTACCTCTCTTCATGCTCCCCATGTTGAGCAGACCTGCAACTGAGTAGGTATCTACTGTCCTGCTACACCAGAACGACACAAGGCTGCTCTGGCTGAGTTGGGTGCTCCAGATCTGGAGGTGAAAGGGCATAGAGCAAGAGCCCTTCTAGCTCTCGCTGCATTTTGAGTTACTCAAATCAGTGTCTAAGCTGCTCTGAACAGTGGTCCTAGGCCCAAATTCCCACTGTGCTTACATTGCATCATTTCAACTTTCTTGTAGTCAGATTACTCTGTACCAGTTTAGATACTTCCTACTACTACAGTAAACCATGTCCCAGTGCCTGGTTCCCAACAGGAGAAGCTGAACAATCTCTGGAGCATTTCTCTGCCCCTCTTTCCTGCTGTTACTGGTACTTGGTGACTCACTGCACACAACCTGCTAAGCCATTGCTGCTGGAAAGCCCCACCAAACACAACACTGCAGCTTCATCAAAATAAATACTGCCTATCTCCTTCCTCCACACCACCACCAGCACAGTAAAACCCGCAACCAGGGAAGAAGAGATCCCAGATCTTCAAAATGGGGCTCGGAGAGAGGCACATAAATAAGCCCTGCATGAATTAGAGGGGGGAAAGGGGAGGGAATCTGCAAGCAATGCCACTTGCTACCTGCCACCAAGCCTCTCTCACAGCTTCTAGCACCCCTGAGATTGCCAGGAAGAGGTCTGAAAGGCCAGGTGATGTGCCATGTGCCCCATTGTCACATCCTCCCCTCTGTCACTTGTGCTGCCCTGACTATATATGTTGGAGCACCCAGGCCAGTGGAATGGGTTTTTTCCTACTGAATTATAAATGTCTCCAGCATGGCAGGGAAAGGAAGCAGTTGTGCATTGCTGATGCTGTGGGGATGAACACAGTACATTACAGTAGGATATTACCCAGCTGATAGCATATATGGTCCACTGAGCTTTTCCCTGATGCAAACAGAAACAATCGTGCAAGCAGGAGGATGTACTGTGGGCAAGACTGCCACCACATGGTACAAGGACAAATCCAGAACAGGAGTGGGGAAAACCGACCTCACACCTCCAAACAGCCCTGACCTCTTCAGACAGCTGTAGCCAAATCTTGATGTCTCTGCCTGATCAATTAATTTGGTCCTTCCCTCCCATCCTGCAACATCTGCAGAGCTCCTATCCAGCAGCACTGCCCCCGGGAGGGAAACGCTCCTTGGGGCCGTGGTATGAGGCAGTAAATGCAGACACCACAAGGAGCTCACTCCCCTCCGGGCAGCACCCCACCATGTTACACACAGATGAGAGGGAGCCAGGGACAAAACGTGGGCAGCTGGCCAGCCAGTAAATTAATTTCAAAGGCAGGCAGGTGATAGATGGGGTTCACATGGGAAAAAAGGAGAGAATAAATTGCCCATCTGGGGCTGATACAGCAAAGAGCAGCGCAGGACAGAGTGAAATGAATGGGCATAGAGGGATCAAGGAATGAGAGCCTGAGTGGCAAGCACATAATTGAATCCCTGAGGCCTGGATCCTCGTTTCAAGCTACATGGGACTGCGAATGCAGAAGCACAGCTGAACTGAATGATTCATGGTGTGCGTGTGACAGACAGGACCCCCAGAGCAATATTTTATGGGCTTGGAGGTAGGAATGCCACTAACAGTATGGTGAGGGAATTTGATGAGATGAGGGGCTTCATCTACATCGTCCTGTAAATCTTTGAGCACAGCCCTTAAGAGAACAGCCTGGAACAATCTGCCAAAATTAGACATGATGCCACAGCTAGCACTCTGGACCCGAGCAGGGAGTCAGCTTGTCAGCTGGCATTAGTCCCCTCTGCACCACAAACCCAGGCTTACACCAAAAGGTTATCAGAACACTTGTCAGGGAGACTAAAATGGTCAGAAAACTCAGCTCTCACCCCTGTGTTCTTCTCCGTCCTGCTTCTGTGCCAGGTTTAACCTGGCAGAAATGGTCAACTAACCAGCGCCAAACTATTTCCAGGGTGTTCCTAATCTCACCAAGAGCATGGGCCCTCTAGTGACTCAGGGAAGAGGCTTTCAGCACTTTCCCTTGTGTTGTGCTATGTTACTTCAAGGTTGTTGTTTGTTTTTACCCCTGTATTTACTCAGAGGGATAGGCATGCTCCTGTACTTGTGGCAAGAGACTCACATACCATTTTTTACCATTTACCATTTTTACCATTTACCACCACTTGTGGCAAAGAGCGTATTCCACACCACAGAGCTGAATCATCCAGTTTAAGGTAGCGAGAAATCTGACGCCTTAGTCCCAGCCCTTCTGGAACCATAGCAGGCTAAGACCTCTCCCTATATCTGTTTTAAGTGGATGAGGAGGTAGATTTGCTTATTTCAAAATTGTGAAATAATTTTACACTGAGAACTGGTGCCTCCTAGCCTCTACTTACCTTGCACTGACACCTAAGCCCATGCTGCTCACATCCTCGAGCAAAGTTGATAATCATGTCCTTGGGCAGACTGACTCCCTGTGAGCAGAGACCTGATTTCACTAAACAAGGGTCCAAAATAGCTCTCCACTTGTCCCACCTTCATGAAATAATGTATTTTCTTAGTAGGCTCAACGGTCGTACTCTCTGGAGGCACTGGGAGATGCCCAAAGTAGATGTTAATACACTAATTTGAACGCTTTCCATTGGATCCTGTTCCAAAAACATTTCTCTCCAAGAATTTTGTACTTAACTGTTCAGTGACACACACCTAAAAATTAATATCTTAAGAGGGGACTCCTACCTAGACAATCCCCTTGTTTTTATTTCATTCGGCTAGTACCTTTTCCTTTAAAATCACACCTTCAATAAGCAAGGCAACTCACCCAAGCCTAAACTTTTGGGTATTAAACTCCCTGATGTTCATATTTTTTCCCAGCTTTGGGACTACACTTCTCCCACGTAAAACCTTTCCAGGAGTTAAAGATTCCCCAGGGAAGGCAAATTCAGCAACCATCCAGAAAATAAAACAGTAACAGAATGATGCTCCCTTCTCAAACAGCTTAGCAGGCAAAGCTGGGGCAAAAACATGGGCAGGGCTGGGAAGGAGACAAGCACAGAGAAATACCCCATTAAATGCTCCACCAGCCGTGAAACATTCTGGTTAGGCATCTTGCTTAAAATAGCCAAGCTAAAAGTTGATTTGGCAACAAACATCCCTTGTGTCAGGTATGAATGCCAAAGGTGTGTTCTGACAAATCACATACCTCAATCAGCTTGCAGAGGTCACCTGCAGGAATAACAACATATTCGTCAGATAACAACATAATCTCACTGTGATGCCCTGTGGGGGCACACAGGTAAAGAAAAGCCATGGTTGGGGTATCTTGGAGGCCAACACAGGGACGGGAAGGATGTGTGAAGCGTGGTATGTACCCATATGAGACACAGAGAATATTATTGGGTTATATATAAATTAAATATTATTGGGTTCATCAAATACTATTGGGTTCATCAAATATCATTGGGTTCTATATAAATCAAATATTATTGGGTTAATCAAATATTATTGGGTTCATCAAATATCATTGGGTTCTATATAAATCAAATATTATTGGGTTCATCAAATATTATTGGGTTTCTATATACATCAGTTATTATGGGGTTCATCAAATATTATTGGGTTCATCAAATATCATTGGGTTCTATATAATTCAAATATTATTGTGTTCATCAAATACTATTGAGTTCATCAGATATTATTGGGGTTCTATATAAATCAAATATTATTGGGTTCATCAAATATTATTGGGTTCGTCAAATATTACTGGGTTCTATATAAATCAAATATTATTGGGTTCATCAAATATTAATGGGTTCTACATAAATAAAATATTATAGGGTTCATCAAATACTATTGGGTTCATCAAATATTATTGGGTTTCTATATAAATCAAGTATTATCGGGTTCATCAAATACTATTGGATTCATCAAATATTACTGGGTTCTATATAAACTAAATATTATTGGGTTCATCAAATATTATTGGGTTCTATATAAATCAAATTTATAGGGTTCATCAAATATTATTCGGTTCGTCGAATATTATTGGGTTATTGGGTTCTCTATAAACCAAATACGATCGGGCTCATGAACTATCACTGGGTTCCGTGCCCCAGCTCGTACACACACACTCACAGCCCCTTTCACAAGCAGCACAGCCCTTCAGAAACCTCACACCACCCACCTTTATGCTACCGGAGCCCTTGATGCTACGTGGCGGCAACCCTTGGGTTTGGCAGAGCCCGTCCACGTTATCCCCACCTGCCCCACGGTTCTCCCGGCCCCTGCCGCGAACCCCCCGGCCCCGTGTGCTCCCCAGTGCCCCCCCGGTCCCCGCGGGTGCCCCGCAGCGCGTCCCCGCCCCGCCGCGCCCCCGTTGCGTTGCCGTTGGCGTTGGCGTTGGCGGAGATGGCGGCGGCGCTGCCGGTGCTCGTCCTGCTGCCGGCTCTCCTCGCCGGTACCCACACGGGCCGGCGGCGAGCTCTGGGTTGCGGGGACGTGGGAGCGGGGAGGGACCCTCACGATGACGGGAGGCAGGGAAAGGGAAAGCCCGAGCCGGTACCGGGCAGCGGGCAGCGGGCAGGAGCTGGTACCGGGGGGATGCTGCGGGTGGAACCGGGCGGTACCGGGCTGGGTGTGGGGCGGGCAGCGGCTGGTCCGGGGGTTTGGGGACCACACCGGCTTGTCCCAGCCTATTGGGGGGGGATCCGGGACGGGGGGAATCTCGGCGGGACCCCCGCGCCGTTAACGGCGGCTTCTCTCTCCGCAGGGCTCCTGTCGCGTCCCGGTGCCGCTGCGAGTGTGCCGGTGGGTGCAGCCAGAGACCCCCCCGGTCCCCATAACCCTAACCCTAACCCCAATCCTAAACCCTAATCCTAACCCTAAACCCTAACCCTAACCCTAACCCCCGGGAAGGGAGACCCCGCAGACCTCCGTGTGCCTCCCGGGGCACTGCAGCCGCTCCCCCTAAATCCCAGGCACTGAGGGGGAAGCCTCAGCACCCTGCCACCCCTCCCGTACCCCCACTCAGGACCTCCTTGCAGAGAGGCTGTGCCTGTCAGGGGCTGTGACCGCAGGAGATGCTCCGCAGAGCACCCCGAGGCACCTGCACCAGCCAGTCTGCCTGTTGCAGGGCTGCAGCACGCCTGCCATGGGGAGATCACTCCTTAATTCCCATCTCCTATCAGCTAGGTCTGTAGGCATCCTTCCTGGGATGCCCATTGCCCGCTTCTGACACAAGACATCGGAAGGAGCTGCATTTTGTAGCACGCCGCTGACTTGTCAATATGCCCTGACACAGCCACACACTTGCAGATCAATCTCTGCTAGGCAGCAGAAGCCAAGTGATAATTTCCCATACAAGCATGACAGATAACGTGGCACTTTATAACGCTGTGCCACCCCTTGTTGAGCTCTCATTTCTGTGTGTATATACTAGTATCCTTTGGAAGCTCTCAGAAATTCTCCTGCTAAACTGGGAGGACTAGAGAAACTCATTTCAGCTGGTGTGTGATTTGCTGTGTATCTGTATTCTCCAGCCTGTGTGCGACATGTATGGTGTGCCTGGATGTCCAAAGGACTACAATCCGGTTTGTGGGACCGATGGAGAGACCTACTCAAATGAGTGTGTGCTCTGCCTTTCAAACAGGTAATTCCAACCTTCCTTTCACATCGGCTTCCTTTACAAGTAAAACATGCACCCTCACATCCCAATTAACTGAACAGTTAGTGGCTTTGAGTCATTCAGTCTGTTAAAGCAAATGACAAAATTGAAAGAAAATTGGCAAACCAATTGTTAAACCTACAATTTGGGAGAAGTTTGGAAAGCCCAGCAAATCAAAGGGCAGACGTAGTGCTACCTGTGAAAAGGGGAGAGAAGAGGTGCTGTCATGTCACATTGTTAAGAACCTGCTCATCATTGCTACCTAAAATGATAACGGAGTAAGTTAATAAGTGATTGACATGTAGATAGTCAGAGGGAAAAATAAAAGTGTAAGCAAATCTGATAAAGATTTGTCGGAAATAATCCAATCAAATCCATAAGATTTAGGATTTTTGGCGAGATAACTGGCCTAGCAGAGTAGAAGAAACCAGAAGTACTACTCCTTGACATTAACAAGGCATTTTACATAGCTCCACTTGACATTCACATAAGAAGACAAATAGTTTTTCAACCAAAATTAAAGGATGAAGAGAGAGCAGTTTGAAATGGTGGAGTTTAACAGCAGTAATCAAACTGGAAAGTGCTATTAAATGGGATTTCCTTTAGCTGCAGTACACAATTTAATATGTGTTTAATAATGAATTGGATACTGAAATAAAGACAATAAAAATTTTCAGAATTACATGGGATACAATGAACTGTGCAGGGCAGTATCAGAATTCCCAGGGGTCAGGAGGAAAGCATCAGAAATGCTAAAAATTCAATACATAAGGAAGAACAACATGCCATGGACAAATGAAAACAGAGCCCACAAGGCTGGCAAAGAGACCAATTGCAGCTGACCACTGTGTGGTGGTCACCACGTGCTGGGATGGGTTGTTACTGAGTTAATTTGCAAAACAGTTAAATAGATGGAAAGGAAGTCTAGACATAAGGAAAATTTAAGTTGTCGAGCATATTTATTAATAAACTTTGCAGTCCTTTGCAGGACATTTTTAAGAGCACGTCAGAAAAGCAGCTATCTGAGCTGATAAAGCATATTCGATCCTTTTTCAGAATAGAATGATGGGCTTTGAGATCCAGTCTTTTTTTATCCATTTCTAGGATACTATTTTTTTTTAGGCATGATCCCTCAGCTTCAGGGGGTGCATGCTGAATTCCTGAATACAGCGCTGCACACAGCGCAAAGGGATCTCTAGGCAAATTTGCTACTTGTTTCCACTCCATTCCTTAAGTAGTTGTTGATGGGGCTTATGTCTTATAATAAATGCGCATGTTTTGTGTGAAATATGCAACACAGGATTTCAGATGCTTGCACAACATGGGTTTTGTCTTAGCCATCTCTTTGGCTGGCTTATTCAGAAAAGTATTTTCATCTAAAGGGACACAAGGTGGTTAGATACTATCTTGATTTTTTTTTTCTTCAATAATTCAGTAGTTGGCCTACTCATTGTCTTTCTAGTGCAGCCTGGAGAGCTTTGTTTTGAAGTGTTTTACTTGGCATGAGCACAAGGAGAGAACACTTTGTCTTACTGGAAGTATTTCAGCTTTGCAAAATGGTTCTTGGTCGTAAGCAATGGTCATTTCACTTCAAGGAGTGTAGAGTACAGTCCGTAACTCAAGAGGGGAGAACAAAGAGGTCTTTCTGCTCTTCTTAGCAAGTGGCATGACCAGTAGCTGCCAAGATAAATAGAATAATCTGGTGATGTAGAAATAGATACATGGGCATATCGCATAGTAACTTACAAACCACTCAGCTCTAAATTAACTTAGGCAATTCTTAGCAGTCATCTGGCAGGTGATTTCCAGCCCCTGTTTAAGTCCACTGAAGGACTTACTTCCCTGATGGCAAAGGACGTACCACCCATGGGCTTTTTTAGCAAGACTATGTGAGCACCTGGAGAGCCCCAGGTCCTGAAAAGCATTACGGTACTGCAGGAGAGGTTTTGCATCTCCTGGGCTTGATTTTTTTTTTCTTTTATATTCCCAAGTTGCTCCTCTACCTTCTGGTTAAAAGATCCCTAATTAGTACAGATTTTCCTGACCTTTGGGTAATCGCAAACCACTTGAATTTCATGAGGAGTAAAATAGCTTGATTCTATTAAGATAGAGAGACAAACTGAAGATCTAGGGCAGTCTGCATTATATCACTTTCTTCTTGCATCCACACTTATTTGGTAAACTGAGATTTGCAATTGGAGCACTGCAAACTACCATTTATTGGACTTGTTAAAAATAAAATAAAAAATGATCCCAGACTAACAGAGATTTTGCTAAAATTTCCTTTAAGAAGATTCCATCATTCCAAGAACCAGACATGCAAAATTTAGCAAGTCTGGGCTGCAGAAAAGCACCAGAATGTGCACTGAACTCCCAAATGCAAGGGAGACTTTCTGTCAGTATTAGACCTGGTTCCCACTTTGAGCACTGTGAATTTGACTTGCATTACTGCTTTTTAATGGACACTTCAGACCTCGTGGCAAGCTTTGTCAGGTGGTTTGATGCATCTCAGACTTGCAGTTGGATTTACCATGTTCTTATAGGCCTTCTTATTAGCCTGAAGTGAGGCTGTCTCTGGTAAGTTATTTGTTCTGTGTGTCTGATCCATAAATCTTTTCATCAGTTACTCTGCAGTAAGGTTTGCTATAAGTGATTCAATTAAAACCATCACTACATTTAACTGGGCATATGGGAGAGTCTATAAAATGTCTCTGTTACAGTGCTTCCCCTCTAAAATAATTTTGTTTTGCTTGCAGTGAAGATAAAAAGGACGTCCAAATTTACAAGAGGGGACCATGCTGATATGTCAGGATGGCACCTCATGAAGAATATGGGAGGGACAAAGCCAGTTCAGATAGAAACAATACTTTGAATGTACCTCCTATGTAGTCTGTCTTAATAAATAACTTTGCCTGTTCAAACAAAGTCCTGTTAGTGTATTTAAACCTCATAGACACAGTGTGTTTATAGCCTGAACTGGAGTCACTTCCTGCAGTAGAAGTGACAGCGAAAATTGCAGGGGAACATGAAGACTGGTGTAAAAGGGTGCAGGCATGAAGTGGGTCTGGCAGGCCTCCCGCTGCCTGCAGGACAAATGCTGGGCTTCAGTTCTGCCACAGACCCCTTGTCGTGCAAACGAGCACATGGAGCTCCCTGTCTCTCTGCTAAGCACCTCCGAAGCTGAGCGGATGGCATTTGGGTTGTTCGGCAGTCCCTCTACCTCTGCTCAAGGCCTGCTCTCATCCTGCCTCCAGCCAAGGCCTTCGTCAGGCTTCACGGGGCAGAGGTGCACGGCGTGCCTCCCGCCTGCTGAGGGGTCACAGCCTGGTGACTTGTGCTTTGACAACAGCAATGCTATCGTCCTGCATTCCTTTCGAAGGGCCAGACCCAGCCTTACATGACAGCACATGCCTGTCTTCATTCCCTCAGTGCAAAAAACAATCGCTGACAGAGTGATCTCACTCATGGCGTGACAGTTATTTGATAAATAACTGTGCTTGCAAAGGAGCTTTAACAACCCCAATCCTCTTAGCTGTAGAAATGTCCCTTCAGTATTTGAAGAAAACGTGTATAGCATTGCATTTTTTTGGCAAAACTCAGACAAAAACAAACAGCACGAAACACAACAAATCCAAACAAAAAATAGCATGTTAGGCTGACAGTTATAATTACATTAGAGCACTGCTTCCAGCACAGGAATGCTTCAAGACAAAACCTTAGAGGTGTTTTTAAATCTTCCTAATTTTCTGCATTAAAAGAGATAATTCAGCAGTGCAAGAGTATGTGAACTCACCATATCTGCCCCTGACATCTGTTTTTCATATTCTGCACGTTAAAATAAAATATTTCAAATATTTGAGCATCTTGATTTTTTTCCTTAGATCAGAGATCTGATTCAAAGCCTGATGGAAGTAGACCATGAAGGAACATGCCTGACTCCAGAGGAATGTCAGATAGTCTCTTTTCCCTCTCATTACCAGTATTTTGTTAGCCTGTACTACTAAATATTCATTATGTTTGTCCTCGGTTGCACTGGACGATGAACAAGAGCTGAAGGGCGAGAACCACAGCCTGAATCCCGTGGGAGACTAGTCAGTGAAAGGCATGAACTTGTGGGTTTTGATATTGCTCACTAGGTGGCAGCATTTTTTTTTCTTTCAAATCTCATTTTATTTTACGTTCTTGGTAGAGGTGTAGCAGGAGTCTGTTAATGACTTTGGTTTGTACACATAAATATTGTGTTAGGAGCTGTTTATTTTCATCTGTATTATTAGCGTCATTACAGTCCTGGTAAGTAGTCAAACTCATTGTACTTGGCAGAATAAACTTGTGTTTTTTTTTTTCCTGATCATCGAATCCAAGGATGTTTGCTGCAAGAGACTACAGTGTAGTATTTTGTAATAACACTATTTGGTGGGCAGATACCTGTGGCATTCACTGACATGGTTACGATTGCACTGAGTCCTGTATTAGCTTCATGACTCTTGTTGCTGGTCACATAGCAATTTTTGAAGGTTGCATTTTCAAAACATTTATGGAAGCAGTGTAGGTTTCTGGTTAAAGCATTCTTAATTAGATAACCTTAGAAAAAGTCACTTTGCTCTGAAACTGTCTCACCTTTACATTAAGAAAAAATTACTCTTTTTGAAGTGCTTTTTTATCTATTGCTAATAAATTTTGTAAGATTCTGGTACACTTGTTTTATTTTAGCATTTACACAGATGTGTTGTTGTTTTTTTTTTTTCCTTGATGTTATATACAGATGCATTTAAAGTTGACCCAAAACTGTACCTACTTACTTTAATGTGTTCCTGTTTACCAGTAAGAGAGGCAAAGGTACTGAAAAATCCTCCTGTGATGCTTTCTAGAGCAGACTGAGATGTTAAACTTGTCTTGTAATTGTCTGGTGTCCTTATGGGTCCTGTGGAATATTCCAGCAAGCCTCAAACTGTGCCCTGGAAGGGTCTGGCTTTCCTGGAAATCCTTTATCTTATCTTCCATTCCTAGCTTCAGATATTTTGGATACTTGGGAAGCTGCAGATGTCCTTAAAGGGGAAGCGGAACTGAGCCTTCACCCTTCATCTGTAATTGGAAGTCATCTGTCCAAGTGAGGAGTGGATCCTTTATGAACCTTTGGGGCTGCTCTGTGATAGCTATCCACATGCACTGTCTTATCTTCCAGTAATCTTTGGGAAATTCCAAATATCTTTTTTTTTTTTTTTTTCTCTTTGTGAATAAAGGAAAATCAGCTTTGGACTTACATGGGAGTCAGGACTCTCCTGGAGATTTTTTAAATGTAAAAGTTGGTGTACTGTAAATTTATCAATATGCTTGCCCTACAATGTGCCTGCCTTCCCTAAGCTTAAGCTAGGAGACATAAACACAGCTAGAAAATATGAAGTGGTAATGATATGATTGTGAATGGGGAGTCAGTTCAGTGGCTAAGTTTATCTAAGAGCTCTCGGGACAATATAGCAATTTCTGTGTTTGGAAGTTAGGTAGCTTTGCAACTGTAATCAAAGTTTAAAACAACTATATGTATTGTCATAATACTCATGTCAGAGTCAAATAGGAGAAGACAGCAAAGCAACTCATCTGCCTGGATCAATCAACGTAAAGATTTCCTAAGTTTGTATTATAAGGGTCTGTAAACTTTTAGTAGCACCTTTTCTATTATAAAGATCTGGTTGAGCCCAAAGGGGGGAAAAGATGCATAATGTTGGGAATTCCTCCATTTCTACGCAGAGGAAGAAGGATACCCTTAAGGTGTCCTTAAAAAAAAAAAAAAAAAAAAAAGAAGAAGAAAAAAAGGTTTTTTTTAAACTCTGAAATGAAAACCAGGTGTTTGGGCTCATGAGGAGGGAAACAAATATTTGCCTACTCTTCACATTTAACTATATTAAGTTACATCATCTCTTGACACTGCTTTTAGACTCTGCAATGCACCAGTGAGCCAGAAGACACATTTATGGAATAATGTGCCAGAACATGGTTCTTGTGGTTCTTGCTATACAATTTCAGTCATGAAAAGAATTGATTTTTACCTTACAAGCAGATGAGATGTTCCTGTATCAAGTAGCCAGGGGACTGTTACCAGAGTTGCTTTTCTGGTAATTTGCTGGCAGTCAGTCTTTGGGCTGTGAGAAAGAAGGGATTTCCTTCCTCCTTTTCACCATGTGTTAATTCCCTGATCTAGGAATCTCTCTCACTGAAGGTTTACTGTCAGGTAGTGCAAATGACCAGTTGGAAGAAAAGTGGTCCAAAACTGAAAATATAGTTAAAAAACAACAAAAAAAAAAAGGCAGGAAATCCATACATATGTGCATATTTCATTCTCTTGTCCTGTTAAGGTTGAAAGGATCGAAATAGAAAACCAAAGAGATACTCAGTGATGCAGAAGAAAAACACGGAGAGGGGATGATCTCACTCTTTCAGGAACACTGATTGTTTTTTGTCCACTCAACAATCCAGTGAATGTGCATTCGCACAGCTCTGGGCTCCTCTCCATTCTGCTACTCTGAGTATGTTTGATCTCCGGGCACTGAAAGAAGCAACGAAAAATAGTCTTAAGCACATTCCTGAGATTTTTTCCCACCGCCACTGCTCTGCTGCTGCACTGTGCAGCTGTTAGCAGAGAATCTGCCAATTCTGACATACTGACACTCGATTTGATTATTTATTTTTTTTTGTGGGTCATGAGGATGTAAGAGTAGAGGTAGATAGACACCGAACCAAAGGCAATAATGAAAGGGTAGGAACTTGTACTTTGGCCCGGCCAGGATTTTTGCCTACATGCCAAATGAAGAGTTCAGCATTGTTTCATTTTGTTGTCCTCTTTGCTCTGCAGTGAAGTGGTTCACTTTATGCAGAAGAAGTACCCGGGATCACTCATGCTGTAGCTAGCTAGGCTGTGACAGAAGCTTTAAAAATACCCAGCTGGAAAACAGAAGTCCCAAGCCAACTGAATCACATTTAGCCCTAAAGCATTTACCCCAACCTCCACAGTGCTAATGCCAGCATTTGTCAGCTGTCTAGTGAGCCAGCTGGGTGAATGGGTCTTTCCCTGGGATAGAGCAGCTAAGGGAAAAGATCTGGGTCTTTTTTTAAGAGTAATCAATTCCCTCCTTCAGTTGTCTGCGAGGTCACACGAGGCCTTTTGTTGGCCAAGTAGGGTAAGAAAGAAGACAAGACGCAGGGAGGAGGACTTGCTTTCTTGAGGAATGCTGGCTTGCCACACGCACTGCACAGCAGCCAAAGGTTGCGTTATTCGCGTAACGTCACTGGTGTATTTACTGCCTCGTAGTGATGACAATGAAACGCAGCAACGCTGTGGAGGAAAGGCAATGAGGGAAGGATAATATAGGTTGCAGTACTGGATCCTCCGCTTTAACTGCTTGCTGGTTTGAAGCATGGCCACAGGCTTCCCCAGGACATACCTGATCAATTGCTGACTTGGGATCAGGGAAAGGGACAAGCCATAAAATCCTAGGGCAAGATATGTGTGCTGCCCAGGCATATGTCCAACTTCTGCAGCAAGATGTGTTCGAGTCACCTGTAAATTACAGATTTATTTTTTTTTTCTGTTCATAATTTCTCCTAATTTCCAACCAGAACCTCTCCTGGTACAATTTGAGTCCATTCCCTCTTGTCCTATCGCTGCCTCACAGCTTTAGGAAAGACAGGGAAATTGATATTTTTATTTGTTTATATATTGATCCTTGTTTGCTACCCTCTCAACTAGGGACACTAAGTGTCCAGCAGCATGTCCCTTATGCACATGCTGGCTGGCGATCCTCCTTAGGAGTCCAAGTATTGGGAGGAAGTACACAGAAAGACCAGTGCTCTCTGTGAGCACTGGTCTTCCTTTTTCACCTTTTATTGCTGAGTGTGACATCATATGGTACAGAATATCCCTTTGGTTGGTT